GTGTCTGAAGGGCAATAAATATGAAAGATGACTTTACCCTTGGCATGCTATTTTTTTCCAGTCACTTTCTATTACTAGTGAAGAAAGATTTCACAATCTGAATTTCCAGGGGTTGGTGGGAGAAATAATTTTTCTCTGTTAATGATAGCCCAAGCATTCCCTGGTGGTTAGCCTCTCTTGACTAAAGGTAGTCTGTGAATTTGCTCTCTGTGTTTATAGGTTATGATTCAGTTAAATAAATCATTTCCTAAAAAAAAAACCAACAAAACAACAGAAAACCCACAAACAAAACCTACAGTCATAACCAACTCAGATAAACATGGAACTCTTAAGACAGCTCCAGTGCAGCTCAACCCATACATGTACATCTGACCCAATGAAATGCATCTGAAGATGCTGAGAGAGTTGGATGATGTCGTTGCAGAGATACTGTCTATCATTTTTGAAGGATCATGAGGACTGAGGGAGGTCCCCATTAACTGGAAAAAAGCAGATTGTGCACCTCTCTTGAAAAAGGATGAGAAGGACAGGCCAGGGAAGGCAGACAATCGACCTTATCTCAATCCTTAGGAAAATGATAGAGTTAGTCCTCTTGGAACTTATTTGTGGGCATGGGAAGGAGAAGGTGATTTGGAATAGCTAGTCTGGATTTAGCAAGGGTAAATAGTGCTTGACCAACATGATTGCCTTTTATAATGAGATGCGTAGATGGGTGAATAAGAGGGGAACACAAGGGCATCACCAGCCTTGACTTTAGGAAGGCTTTTTTCTGTTGACCCCGTCCTTGTGCCGTAGTAGGAACACTAGCTTGTCAGGTATAAATGGTAGTGGCTAAGGGGTCATATTCTACCTGAAGGCTGGTTACAAGTTACGTTCTGCAGGGTCTGTCCTGTTTAATATATTTGTCGTTAATTTAGAATGGAGATGGAATATGCTCATCAAGTTTGCAGACAACAAACCTAGGGGGTGCAGTCAATACATGTGAAGGCATATTCAGAAGGACTTAGCCTAGAGGGATGGTCTGCTAGGAGCCTCTTAAAATTCAAGAACAAATGCTAAGTCCCACTCCTGGAATAGGCTAACCTCCTGCAGTGGTACCAGCATCTTGATGGGGATGGAGGACTAACACCATACTGGTCTACATCAATAAGAGCACAGCCTGGATATTGAAGGAAGAGATCATTCCCCTCTGGCACTTGTTGGACAAAAGCCCTGAGCAATGTGGTCTGAATTCAGCACTAACCCTTCTCGGAGGAGGAGACTGGGCTAGGGGACCTTCTGAGGTTTGCTCCCACCTGAATAATTCACCCCTGTACTTGGCACTGGTGAAGCCGCACCTCAGGTACTGTGTTCAGTTTTGGGCCCCTCACTACAAGAAAGACATTGAGATGCTGGAGTGTGTCCAAAGAAGGGCAACGAAGCTGGTGAAGGGTCTAGAGGACAAGTCTTATGAGGAGCGTCTGAGGGAACTGGGGCTGTTTAGCCTGGAGAAGAGGAGGCTGAGGGGAGACCTTCTTGCTCTCTACAAGTACCTGAAAAGAGGGTGTAGAGAGGTGGGGGCCGCTCTTCTTCCAAGTAGCAAGTGACGGGAAGAGAGGAAATGGCCTCAAGTTGCGCCAAGGGAAGTTTATATTGGATATAAGGAAGAATTTCTTTACTGAAAGGGTTGTCAGGTATTGGAACTGGTTGCCCAGGGCAGTGGTGGAGTTTCCATCACTGGAGGTATTTAAGAGTCGTGTAGACATGGTGCTTAGGGACATGGTTTAAGGGACTTGTCAGTTTTAGGTTAATGATTGGACTCAATGATCTTAAAGGTCTTTTCCAATCTAGTAAATTCTGTCATTCTGTAAATTATATTTGAGGTTCTCAAAATGTGTCCCTTTTTGTTGTTCAGGTGTTCAGGTTGCTACTTTCAAACCTTCATGTTTAATCCTGAAGGACTGTTCTGGGAAATTCAGGTATAAACAAAGACATTAAATATATTAATCATGATAAAATTGTATTGTAGCAGCATAGTAAGGTATGATACAGCTCTGTGCTTTTTTTTCCCCAGTGATTTTTTTGGCGTTGATTACTGTGAAATCTTTGGAATATTGGTTAATACTTGTTCCTTAGTTCCTCATCCACAGAGTGGGGATAGTACATCCTCTTTGTCATGCCTTCTCACCCATGTAATCCTCAGTTTTGAAATCTCTAGTTCTGCCTCTGAGCCCATTCAGTGTAAAGTTGTGTCTTTGCAGAGTTAATATTTTTCCAGATCACTTACGTTGCGTACAGCTGCTCCCTCTCTTTGTGTGTCTGTGATCTCCAGCTGCACTGCAGTACCAATGAACTTTGATACATGATTTTCTCTCTGCTTTAGCTAGCAAATCAGTTAATGCAAGTTAACTGTAGTTGGAGCTGTGTTACCTCTTTATTACAAATTTTCTGTGTCTTACCCTCTATAAATGTTTTTGCATGGAAAGGCTCTTGAAAATCACTAGTTGCAGCTGTTGACCAGTTGCACGCTTGTGTTCAAACAGAGGTGACAAGTGGCATCTTCCCCTTTGCCAGAGGTGCTCTGTCACCATGCTGGCTCATTTTCCACTGTCCAGTCACTTCATAGACAATAGTGCAGAACAGATTGGTTTTGTATCCTTTTCACAAATGAAAAGTAAAATGTACGTAGTCCTGGAGTCTTTGACCTTTTTGTTAGAAATATTTAAAGGGACACCGCTAATCCATGAGATGACAAACTGAAAGAGAATTATTTTGTGTGGCTTCTCTGACTTCTTTGTTCTGTACGCTTCACTGCGTTTCAGACACAGTCGTTTTCATTGATTGGTGATCTGAACACATCCTTTTGTGCGCTGTGCAAGGAGTTTGGGGTACAAGTACACTGATTAATCAAAGAAACTGAAAAGAGAGACAAATACTGCAAGCACTACAGAGGAAATTCAGAATACGAGGGTTATATATAGTTGCTTGGGTTTTGGTTTTTCTTGGACAGCAGCAGTGGAGTTTGCCAGTGCATTAAATTAGTAGGCAGTAACTCATATGGTGTGCGTCATGGTTTGCTCTGTAATCACTTTACGTTATGTAAAGCTTGCCATTAGCTGACCTTCAGCCTCTTCAGGGATTGATCAGTTATTTCCCTCCTGTACCAATGTCATTTGCAATTTCTTGAAAGCTTGCCTATTTCTAAAACCACTTTAATTTTGATTCATCCGGGGATTAGATCCACTGTGAAGTAATAATAATTTGAATAATTATTGTTGCTTTCAAGGACTTAGAAACTGTTTTTCCTCAGCTGAATTCTTGGATTTAAGTGTTGTGGGAAATTGTATATCGGTGCCTAACACTTTGGTATTCACAGCTTGCGCGGATTTAATTCAAACACTAGCATTTTGTAACTTTTGGGAGCAGAGACTGTGACATTTTGAGATAAAAGCTGAACACTTCCAGTTTGCATACTATAAACTGATTAATTGTTCAGTGAGTGGTTATATTTCTTAGACAACATTAGTGTGCTTCTCTCAGGGTTTGCTGCAGGGAAGCTGAGCAAATGAAAAAGGGCCATAGGACTGTGAGCTGCTGTAGTTTTGAAATGGAAGTGTAACTGAGGTTCTTCCCATCTCCTAGTTGCTGTAGAGACGAGGTCTGTAAATGCTTCTAATTTATCGCTGTGGATGCAAGTAAAACTTACAAATTTTAAAAATTGCAGTATCACGGATTTCCTGTGAATTCTTTTGCTTTCCCTTTTTATTAATGTTCCTGGTTTGCTGCTAGTTTTTTGGGGGGTACGCTCTTTGTAACATATAACTTCAAAAATGATTTTATTTTCCACTCCTGACAATTTAAAGGGCTGTTATTGCTAAACTTCCCTGTACTTTGTTTATTGCCTTGTGTTAAGTTTACACTGACAAATTTTGATGGTACAAGTGCTGCCTTAACAGAACTGCTAGTGACTGTTGGAAAAGCACAATGCAGCACACGCAGTTGTGTTCACACAAAGCAAAGAATAAACCTCTGTCTGTGAGTGTTCATTGATTTCAATAGGCTTTTCAGTAGCTCTGCGTATTACAATTCTTAGCACCTAGAATACATTCATATTCATTATGGCAGTGCAGTTCAGCCTCTGCTCGTCACTTGATTTATTTATTTTTTCCCCCCTCCATCCCTTCTTCTGCTGGAGCCTGAAGTAGACTTTCTAATCTAGTAATGTGTTCTAGAAGATGTTACAGCTCTTTCCTCAGGATGATTGAAAATGCATCTTTCGTCTTCTTTCATCTTGTAAGAAACATGTTAAATAATAGAAATACTTAAAGGTTTTTGGAATCTTTCATGATGACCCTTGTGGCTATTGAGACTGTGAGGTGCTGGGCATGTATGGCATGCAATCGTTTGTATGAACAATTAGTGGAAGAACTAATTGGTATGTAGTGGTGCCATCTTTTAAAAATATGAATACTTGCTTCTTTATTTGAACGTACGGAGGATGGGGGGGATTGGTTCTTTGGATGCTGAAAATCTGTTTAAAATGCTTTTTTATTTGCTTGTAACTTGGCTTTATTATTTGAACACTCATTTAAACCAAATGGTTTTCAATAGTCTGCCTATATTTTATTGTAGGAAATCGTACTTATCTGTCTCTTTAAGTTTCGACTGACTGATGTAAGAAGTGTGGTTTTCCCTTATGCACATAAACTGAAATAGTCTACTTGAAAATATTACAAGAGTTTAGCAAATAATTTTTGTTTCATTCACTCAGAGCAAAATCTGTAATTGGGCATGTTGGTTTTTTCCCTTATCTCTAATGTACAATTATAACATTCTTACAAAATGTTTCTTAAAAACAAACAAACAAAAAATACATTTGACAATATGAATTAATTGGACCCTTACGTTTGTTTGAAAGACTTCATATTTAAGATAATTAATCTGATTTCAATAATGAGAACTTCAGGCAGCTGGTTAGTTTGAGCGTTTGATTAATGTATTTAATGTTAAAATATGACAATATTACCTTTGTAGATGAACCGACTAGTCCTAGTATTGACCATGATATTGCACACATTTTTTTTTATTCCTGCTTCTGCTGTTATTTCTGCCTCTGCTTCTCAAGCACCAGCTGTAACAACTGGTCCTCCCAGTCCCACATCTCCAATCCCTTTAATTCGGCGACAGCTTTCACACGATCATGGTGAGTGTTCATTTCTTTTTTCTTTTTTTTAATGCAGCTTTTTCGTTTTATGCTCTGGGGAACAGGAGTGAAAATTGTAAGCCCTTTAGTGCTTGAAATAAATTGCAAAAATGTCACTCAGGTTCTTACATACTCGAAAAATTCTGGGTTTTTTGTAGAATCCATCCGGCCTAGTGTCCTGGGTAGCCAGCCTGCTGCAAAAACTGAGAGATCAAAGTCGTATGATGAAGGACTGGATGACTACAGAGAAGAGGGAAAATCGTAAGTTCACAAAAAATATCAGTTAATTTCGAGATCTGTTTTTTAAAGTGTATAAAATCTCATTTTAACATTTGTTTTTCTCCCAACAGATCCATTAAGCATGTATCTAGTTTAAAGGGGATTAAGGTATGTATATATATATACGTATATAACAACTCCTAAGCATTACACATACTACTGTGACAAGTTGTATGAATTATACAACTCATTTATACAAAGTGATGTGTTAAACACAGACATGAAGTTTATTGGAATTGCTACTTATCAAGTTGTTCTTAATTTTGATTGATTTTTATATTTAAATTGATTTGAATGGCTTCCCCCAGTTGGTTACTGCATCACATAAGTAATGGTCTCTTTTTTTCTTAGGCTCACCACATGGTCCTTGATTTTTTCATTTTCTTCAGCTTCTGTACACAAAGCATATCTATGGCATGCTTTTGTAAAAACTTAATAATGAGAATCTGAGACTCCTGCAGTTTCTGAGTATTCTTGGGATGTGTAAAGTCACTATTGTTGTATGGAAACTTTAGGAATGATATTTTCCCAGAGGGACATTCTTAGGGCCTTTTTGCTGAATGAGGTGTCAGCTTTTAAAGAGAGAAACATCTTGAATGTAGGGATCGTAGAGAAATGTATTTAGAAGTATACTCTGGGTTTTTTTCTGTTATGTTTTCTCTAGGTCCCAGACAGCCAGAAATCTTCGGAAGACTCTGGTTCCCGGAAAGATTCTTCTTCAGAGGTCTTTGGTGACGCCTCCAAGGAAGGGTGGCTCCATTTTCGTCAGCTTGTTACAGACAAGGGAAAGGTACCCGTCATGTTTGGTTTTTTAATGTAGCATAAATATTAAGCTGGTGGAAACCTAAGCTGAGAAACTTAAAGCCTTCCTGGTTAGCTTTTTTAATTAAAATTTTGGGGATTTGAGTATCAGTAAGACTGACAAAATTTTAGATCTGTTAGAACATTGACTTTAGTGAATTCGCCAGCTTCTTTTACAGACTGCTTTTTGAACTGTCTTCTGAACTTCTGAACCGATAGGATAAGAGGAAATGGCCTCAAGTTGTGCCAGGGGAGGTTTAAATTGGATATTAGGAAAAACTTCTTTACTGAGAGGGTAATCACGAGCTGTAACAGACTGCCCAGGGAAGTGGTTGAGTCACCATCCCTGGAATTATTTAAAAGATGTATAACATGGTGCTTAAGGACATGGTTTAATGGTGGAGTTGGCAGTGTTGGGTTTACAGTTGGACTCGATGATCTTAAGGGTCTTTTCCAACCTAAATTATTCTATGATTCAAATTTTACATTTCAAAGCATCTATGAAGTAAACTCATTTCTAATGACTATTTATTTAGTAAGAATCAGTCCCTTGATAATTGTAGTTTGAGAAAAGCTGTAGTTTTCATGAATGTTGTGGAGCAGAGTTCAGATTAACCTTCTGCACAAGTATAAACTAACACATAAGGAAAATTGGGAGCCTGGAATTGCAGTGGTGTATAAATGTGAGTCTGACTTGAACAAAGTTTAAAAGGCATGGGCAAGAGTCCACTAAATATTTTTTACTATATTTGTATTAATGCCTCTGTGAAATTCTGATCACGTTCTGTTTCTTGCTGCTGTCATATGTGAACACACGCTGAATGGATGGTCAGGGAGGGCAGGCTATTGAGCAGTTAACTCCTCTAAAGGAGAGCAATTAGTGTACTTTTGTGTAGTCTTTCCACAGGTAATTCTTAAGAATGGTATAGGTAGGTGGTCAGTCTTTCTTTTTAAAACTTCTGGAAGGTAGTTTTTTTTAATCCAGAAACATGAATGGTAACAAATAAGCAAACCTAACATATCAGGTGATGTTTTTCAGCGAGTTGGTGGGAGCATTCGGCCATGGAAGCAATTGTATGTTGTTCTTCGAGGTCATTCACTTTATTTGTACAAGGATAAAAAGGAACAAGTGACCCCATCTGAAGAAGAACAACCTATAAGCATCAATGCTTGTTTGATAGACATCTCATACTGTGAAACCAAGAGGAAAAATGTATTTAGACTCACCACATCAGACTGCGAGTATCTGTTTCAAGCTGAGGACAGAGATAACATGTTAGCATGGATTAAAGCAATACAAGACAACAGCAACTTAAATGATGAGGTAATCGCTTAATATATAATGCAGAAGCCATAGTTCTTGTCTTTTAATTAAAAATTGATTATATTTTCTTGTAATACTTCAACAAAATAAACTATTTGCAATTAAACAATAGACCAAAATGTGTACAGGAACAAACAAGAAAATGCGGTGAAATGCGAGGTAACTGAGTAAATAAACTGAGTTAAATAAAGCCTGACGTATTCATAATGAGAGAGAAGACTTCTGAAATAAATGAATTACTGTTGTTGCTGATTTGACTAGAGATACACTTTATATTAAACTGATCTGTCAAAAATCACTGATCTTTTTTAAAAGATAATTTCAGTATTAGAACCAATATATTCTGTCTTCAGACTTGCATTGCAAAGTGATGTGTGCAGTGGTACAGTGTGATGAATTTCTCAGTTGTTAAAAAGTGAAACTTCAAAGGATGCCTGTTTCTCTGATTAAATGTTCATGTTTCTGTGAATTAAATGTTAATTAAATGTTAATGCTAATTACAAAAGGCAAACATACACTATTGTACGTAACATATCAATATCTGTCCCAATATTGACCTCAGTGCATTTTCGTTTCAATGATGAGCAACAGAGGAATGTTTTCAGGTCTGTAGTCACACACATCTGCTCAGACTTGAAATAATTATCCAAAGGAAAATGGATTAATAAACATTATTAGACAAATGGATAAGAGCACATTTGAATTCATGGCTGTTTCAGTTGTATGTGTAGTAGTATTTAGTTATATAAGTACTGTGTGCACATGGGATTGGATTTTTCAGAGTAGTATGGTGTGTTGACTTGCATGTTTTCTGTTTAAACTTACTTTCAATTTAACAGAATTTAGTCAGATTGTATTGCTTTGACAAAAAGTCTAAATAGCGGTGTTTAATTTGTAATTACTCAGTTCAGTTTTCCTCACAATTTTTAAATGTTCTGTCCTTATTGTTCTCAAGGACTGCCTGTTAAATTTGTTTGTTTTTAACTGTACTGAAATGTTAATTTTGCATTGCAGTCTGTTGATAGGAATAGTTAATAGTATTCTTAAAAGTAAAATAATTTCTTGTATTTTATAAGATTGTAAAGTAGCTCTCAATTAATTTTATAGGATACTGGTGTCACTAGTAGAGATCTAATTAGTCGAAGAATTAAAGAATACAGTACAATGATGAGGTAGGTGAATTATATATGCTGCCAGTAGTTTTAGTAGACTTCTCTAGCTTCTTTTTACTGAAGTAATATATCGTTTCAGTTCTTCAAGCAGCAAAACAGAACCATCTCCCAAAACACCTCGCCAGAGTCTAAGTATCAGACAGACTCTGCTTGGAACTAAAGCAGAGCAGAGGACCCAGAGTCCACATTCTCCTAAGGATGAGTCTGAAAGGAAGCTTCTCACTAAAGGTCTGTACGTTTTGTGTATTTCCTTAGTTCCTTATGGCCCCAGCATGAGGCCTTCCAGGTGCCTTTCTCAGCTTTTTCAAACTCATGAATATGCAGATGCAAACCAAGTATTAACGAGGTTTTTTTAAGCTAGTTATGGGGTTTTTTTTCCTACAGCTCCATGTAGTGTTAACAGTAGTAAAATACGGTGTTATACTATTTGTGACCAAAATTTTGCCAAGCTTTGGACATAATTTTGTGTGTAATTCATACTTCTGTCTCCAGGTGACGTGTAAATAAGACAAATTCATATTTTAAATATACTGTTGAGAAACCAAAGTTTTCCACTGAAGTGATTTAGAAGTAGAGAATAAGTTTGTTGGTTTTTTTTCTGGTCTTAATTGAAGTACAGGAGTGAAACTGTATTATATTTTCCAGCACAAAATTAATACCCACTGAGTTCTAAAAAGGCCCAATGAGCTAACACTGCAAACTTAAATCAGTAACTGAACTTCATCAAATAACGTCTTAAGCTACTTTTTAATATTTTCAGAATGTGTAAATGTATGGTATGTCTCATAAGACTGAACTTGTAAGGATGTTGCATAAAAATTCAGGCAACTGGCTGAGCAGTCACTTTCGATCAACTATTTTTGAACAATTCAGTCTTGAATTTAAGCTCTGAGTGAATTCTGTTTTATGTTGCCAACAAATGTCCCTTTGCTCCTACTATGCTACAGATTATGTAGCTAAATTGCAGATGTTAAGTAAATGTCAAATCTGCTGAAAAATATTTCCAGAAGTACTTGAATAAGAAGGAAGTACTGTTGTATCAGACGACTTGCAGTACAGGATAAATGGGAATTGTAATTTGCTACATGCATTGTATAGGGGAGGAAAACGGAGCAATTGAACTTTTTATCTGATTTTTTTTGATAGAATAATACTTTCAAGTGTTTTGAGTCCTGTTTGGAATGATTTAGGAGTGACTAAAATGTGGTAATTTTTGAAAGAGTGAGTACAGCTGTGTAACTGTAAGCATGGCTGTATAGTGTCATACGTATATTGTGCAGCACTGTGTTCGCTAGAGAATCTTGCTTTACTAAATGTAGATTTTAATATTTTTAAAATGCAATTTATGCACCTTTAGTCTTAGAATGATTAAATTCTACAGTACCATTCAGCTACTTGCTTTTCTACATGTGGGGTGTATATTCAAATGTATCTTTTGAATCGCAGGAGAGTAAAAGAAGGTGTGTTTAAGATAAATTAATGTTTAGTGAGTTACTGTGAAAGCCAGTAAAAGAGGTAAAAATGCAGTAGATGTCACCTGATCTTTGTAAATCTGTTACCTGTATTCGCAGTAGTTTTTGTGACTTAAACGTTCTTGTTTTTCTTCTTTATTTCTTTGTTTGCATTATACTAACAACAAAAAGATGAGACAAGCCCACCAAAAGACAAGGGGACATGGAGAAAAGGCATTCCAAGCATTATGAGGAAGACATTTGAAAAGAAGCCATCTGCTGTAGGAACATTTGGTGTTAGACTAGATGACTGCCCCCCAGCTCATACCAACAAAGTATGGAAGGACAATTTTTCTTTCCATTGTGATTTTTAAAATACTATTTGTATGAATCACTTTAAAATATATATGTAACTTTTCTTTTTTTTTTTTTTCAGTATATTCCACTGATTGTTGATATATGCTGCAAACTGGTTGAAGAAAGAGGTCTTGAGTACACAGGTATTTACAGAGTTCCTGGAAATAACGCTGCCATCTCAAGTATGCAAGAAGAGCTCAACAAAGGAATGACTGACATTGATGTTCATGATGATGTAAGTCTTTGATCATGCTATTTGCAGGTTGAACTCTCAAAAACTTCTGGTTGTGTTGTGATTATAGAAATATAAAGCATATCTGTCCTTTTCTTCTAAACGCAGAAATGGCGAGACTTGAATGTGATAAGCAGTTTGCTGAAATCCTTCTTCAGAAAGCTCCCAGAACCCCTTTTTACCAATGGTAAGCTGTTTACATTATGATTTTGTCTTTAGGAATTACCATTGAACAGCTGTCTTACATCTTTCAGGTGATTTGAGAGAAAATCCAGTGGAATCATCCACTGGACACTCTAATAAATGCCTTTTTTCTTAAAGAGTGAGAGGTCGTGGTGATCATAAAGCTTTAAGAATGAGAGCTGTAAACAGAGTTTCTCTGATGGTGAAGGAATTATGAATTTGCAAAACAACAGAGTAAAATTTGCAATTTTACTGTTGCAATATTCTATGACAGCTGTTTTTTTCCCCCACTGCTGTCTTATTGTATTATATACAAAATAATGGGCTAATTTATGACTTCCAAAGGTCATTCATAGATAGATATA